TTAATTTATGTAATTCATCAAGTTATAATAAAATATATATTTTTATAACAAAATATATGATTAGAACATTTTTGTCAAAACTATTGAAATGACAGGAAAATAAAAAGCTTAAGTAGTTTCCATTTTCTATTTTGTACATTTTCTATATTTTAATTTTTTATTATTAATATTTAATAAATTTCATAAATTAATCAAAATATAGAAATTGTGTAAAATAATATTTTGAGAACGGTAAAATAAAATTTCAAAAAACATAAAATACAATAAATAAAATTTAAAGAATGAATAAAATATAAAGAGTGCGACATATTTGATGTTTTATAAATGAATTAAGTTTTATTTTAAAGTTATATTGATAAAATATAGGTATGTTCCACTCAGTTTTTGTCTGTTCTACATAAAAGTCATGTCAAACGTGGAACATTGATTCAGGTTCTATCATGTCCAGTGTACCAAACGCACCATTAGAAACCTAAAATATCTTACAAACCCAAGAACCATCCTTTTTACAAGTATTTATGATGAATAACGTGATAAACTATTCATGATAAATTTCATGAAAAATATTCATGATAAATATTCATCATGAATACTCATAAAATATGTGGTTTCTGGATTCCTAAAATATTTAAGGTTCGTAAAGGAACCTTCCATCTTATTTATCGAGTTCATGTGAGAATGACAACTTGGAGACAAAATTCTTCATCTACATGCATTTCACATAATTTCATCAACCTGTTTCAAGAATCATAACTTTAACAAATTCATGCATATCATAATGATTAAAGATATGTAAAGTTTGTTAACGTTAATGCAAGTGAAGATGAAGGTACGTCAAAGTAAATGAAGATCTATGCTTTTTAGTCATTAGATCAATAATCAACTCATCCAATTGGTTACAAATGTTATTACCTTCTCACAAAAATTCACATGATCACAACTCTTCTCTCTCTCTCTCTCTATATATCTATACTATATTATAAAGCATTTGGCTAAAACTCTTAAAAACTCTTAAAAACCCTTAAACCCGTTCATCCCTATCCGATTTCATCCCATATCTGAATTCGTGTAACTAACTGTAGATAAACACAATCAAATACA